ATTGCAGTACCCCTCACTCGTCTGACGAGGAAGGGGGTGGATTTCCGGTGGGGCCCCGAGCAGCAAAGGGCATTTGAGACCCTCCGTCAGCATTTGTATGAGGCACCAGTCTTGACTCTTCCGGAAGGAGTCGAGGATTTTGTGGTGTTCTGTGATGCATCCATCACAGGTTTAGGGGCGGTCCTCATGCAGAGAGGACGAGTGATAGCCTACGCATCGCGGCAGCTGAAGCCGCATGAGACGAGATACCCTACGCATGACTTGGAGCTGGGGGCGGTGGTGTTCGCCCTCAAGATATGGAGACATTACCTCTATGGGGTCCGCTGTACCATTTACACGGATCACAAGAGCTTGAGACATATCATGGACCAGCCGAACCTGAACATGAGGCAGCGCATGTGGCTGGATGTAGTCAAGGATTACGATTGCGAGATCCTTTACCACCCTGGTAAAGCGAATGTGGTTGCGGATGCTTTGAGCCGCAAGTCAGCTGGGTCTCCCACCCCCGCGGTATGTATGAGGATACCAGTGGATTCTCCGCTTGTGAGTTTGATCAGAGATGCCCAGGTAGAGGGCATGCGACCGGAGAATTGGAAGCTGGAGAGGATCAAGGGTGAGAATACCCGGTTCGTGCAGGATAGTCGGGGACTATTGACCCGATGCGGTCGGATTTGGGTTCCGATGTCTAGTGGGGTTAGGCAGACGGTTATGGAGGAGGCTCATAAGTCTCATTTCTCTATTCACCCGGGGCCACCAAGATGTACCGGGATTTGAGTTTGAGCTATTGGTGGCCGTGCATGAAGCGAGAAATCGCTTGGTACGTCGAGAGGTGCTTGACCTGTAGGATGGTCAAGACCGAACATCAGAAGCCGCATGGCAAGCTGCAGCCCCTGGAGATTCCCATGTGGAAATGGGAACATATCACGATGGATTTTATTACCAAGTTGCCGAGGACGACAAAGGGGTTTGATAATATATGGGTCATCGTGGATCGGTTGACCAAGAGTGCCCATTTCTTGGCTATACGGGAGAGCTCATCGGCCGAGAAACTGGCCGAAGTATACGTTCGCGAGATCGTGTCTCGCCATGGGGTTCCCGTTTCCATTGTCTCTGATCGGGATGTCAGGTTTACCTCCCGCTTCTGGCAAAAGTTCCATGAGGAGCTGGGCACGCAGTTGCACTTCAGCACAACATTCCACCCGCAGACAGATGGTCAGAGCGAGCGGACTATTCAGACCCTCGAGGACATGTTGAGGGCGTGTGTCATTGATTTCGATGGGAGTTGGGATTCTCACCTACCGCTGGCGGAGTTCGCCTACAACAACAACTATAATTCTAGCCTTGGCGCCTCGCCATTCGAGTTGTTGTACGGGCGGAGATGTCGTACCCCGGTTTGTTGGGGTGAGGTTGGTCACAGGGTCATGGGTCGGACGAAGGTGGTCTTGTAGACTACCGAGAAGATTCAGCAGATTAGGCAGCGACTGCAGACCGCTCAGAGTCGGCAGAAGAGTTACGCCGACCGGCACCGCTACGAGTTAGAATTTCAGGTCGGTGACATGGTACTCCTGAAGGTCTCACCTTGGAAGGGTGTGATCCGCTTCAGTAAGAGGGGAAAATTGGGTCCCCGTTATATCGGGCCATTCAGGATTATTGCCAGGGTTGGCAAGGTGGCTTATAGGCTTGAGCTACCGGAGGAGCTCAGCCGAATTCATAGCACATTCCATGTTTCGCAATTGCGGAAGTGTATTATGGACCAGGAGGCAGTAGTATCGATGGATGATATGCAGGTCGATGAGCGCCTGAATTACGTAGAGAGGCCTGTAGCCATCTTGGAAAAGAAGAAGAATATTTTGCGGAATAAAGAGATACCTTTGGTAAAAGTGCAGTGGGAGCATTGGCGGGATCCAAGTGGACGTGGGAGCCGGAGGCGGAAATGCGGGAGCATTACCCGGCATTGTTTATTCCAGCGGACTTCGAGGGAGAAGTCTAGTTCAAGTGGGGGAGAATTGTAACGCCCTGATTTCCAGGTATTGTTTAAATAAGAATTTAATTGGTTTCAAGGCCTACTCGACGAGTTGGTTGCCCTACTCGTCGAGTAGCAACGGGTTTGATACGCGTGTTTAGTGACCTACTCGCCGAGTCCATGAAGGGACTCGACGAGTAGGAGCTGGCAGGTGAAACCCTAAATCCCGGGGTTTTGCACCCTATTTAAAGGAACCTCAGCTTCCCTTGGCCTCTTTACAGTCTTTGAGAGCTCAGTGAAACCCTAATTCGTGTGGTACTCTTCTTGGTGTGATTTAAGCCTTGGAAAGAAGGTTGGCTAGGAGGGAAAAGCTTGAAGGGCAAAGGAGTTGAAGCGAGGAAGGTGTGGGAAGCAGAACTTACCTCAGCTAGCATCTTCTGGAGGTATCAAGTTGCAATCTTTACTTCCCTTTCCTTCTAGATCTCTTTTCTTTTGGATGAGTTTTAGGGTTTTATGGATTTTGAGTTGAGATGGGGAGCTATGGGCTAGATCTGAAGTTGTAACTTCATATCTGGACCCTTCCTAAGTCCTAGAGTCATAAAGTTGCGGGTTTGGGGGTGATTGAGACCCTCCTTGTGCATGTAACCCCATTAAGATCTTAGAATTGCCATTAAGAGCCTTTTTAGCCATGCATACACGTAAAGTTTGCAACTTTACATGAAAAGCATGCTCTAGAAGCTTGGATCTGTAATTTGGAGCCATTGCATGGCTTAAATGAGTATGTATGGCTTAAGAGCTGAAGGAACTCGGCGAGTCGTATGAAGATGGCCTTGAACTCGACGAGTTGGATGAGCAACTTGGCGAGTCCGATGAAGATTGCCATAGACTCGGCGAGTTGTATGAACAACTCGGCGAGTCGGATGAGTTTTCTCCAGGATATGTATGCGTGTGTATCTGTCGAGTTGCAAGAAGGAAGCTCGACGGGTGGCCTTAAAGTTTGATCGAGAATCGTAAGAACTCGACGAGTCACCTCGATGACTCGGCGAGTTGGAAAGTGCTTCAAGGAACTCGGCGAGTAGCCGAGGGTACTCGGCGAGTTAAGGTCAACATGGACTGTTGACCTTGACTGAGGACTTTGACTTTGACCAGGGGTTGACTAATGGGTTATGGAATACCTTATAAGGTTAAGGACTTATGGGTATGATTATACTATGGTAATAGGTGGTGGAATTTGTGGCAGTGATCCGAGGGTTGAAGTTTATCTACCGAGTCGACATCTGCAAGGTGAGTTATCCTCACTATACTAAGGGGTCTAAGGCACCAAGGTCGGCCCATTGAATATGTTATCCTAGCAGTGTTAGATGAGTATGAGTTAGTGTTGCATGTTAGTGGTTATTCTAGTTAGGTAGATTTGTAGGACTACCTATGATGTTATATGATTATTGTATGCTCAATAGTTATGTTATATGTTACATGTCATGTGGGATGGGTTGAGCTTGTACTGCTCCGTGCGTTAGCCAACAAACCCTAGAGTATTCCAGATATGAGCTGAGGGCCAGACAAGGCATTCCAGACTCATACTGAGGACTCGAGAGCATTCCAGATACGAGCTGAGGGCCGGTAGGCATTCCAGACTCGTACTGAGGGCTCGATGGCATTCCAGATACGAGCTGAGGGCCCGGTTGGCATTCCAGACTCGTACTGAGGGCCCGAGGGTAATCTAGCTCGTAAAGCTGTGGACCCATTGCATGCTGTTTCAGTTTGTTATGATATGTTATTACTAATATGGTTATGTGGACTGTATGTGTATCAGTATTTTGGGGGTAACTCACTAAGCTTTCGGGCTTATAGTTTCAGTTTATTGTTTCAGGTACATCAGGGGATCGCGGCAAGGCGAAGGCATGATCGTACAGCTCCTCACATTATGTTTATGTTTCTGGGAATACTCTGATAAATAATATTTTGAAAAGAAAGTTGTAATGTTTCGATGAACTTGACATGTTTTAAAAGTTTAAATTGGTTTGAAATTTTTGGGTGTTACACAATTAATAATTGGGTTCCACTACATAACCATGAGTGCATTCTTTGGATAATTACTACATTACCCCAAACTTGACTTATTCAAGCCCAAGGCCCAATCCATAGGCCCAAAGTCGACTAGGAATCAAAGCCCAACATATGACCCAATTTTCCAAATTGGGCCCAAGCCTATACATGGTCTTATTCTAAGGCCCAACATCATATAATCATTAAGGCCCAAACTCTGGTCCATTTATGGCCCACTTTTTCAAATTGGGCCCAACTCCTCATATGGGTCTTACCTCAAAGCCCATTAATTATTCTAGTCCAATTACTTGACTTTGGATGGCCCATTAATAATCCAATCATCCCAATAGAAAGGCCCAACAATAAAACCCAAGTGAAATTAGGGTTTTCACATAAAATGACGATTAGGGTTAAGTGTTTCTCACTTAACCCATTAAAGACTTAATTCATTAAGGACGTTTAAGTAACAGGTTAACACGATAATTAACGGATAGTGGGTCAAACTTAAGAATTAAAATTAAAATTCAGAACTTAAACCGACTTAATTTTTATTTTTCCTCACTATCTATCCTCTTTGCTCTCAAACTCCATCTATTTCCATTTTACATTCTAAATTTATTATGAATTTTATTATTCCACCTTCTAACCTTTATGTTTCACTTTTTCCTTTTCACGTATTCTACTCATACTTTCTAACATTGAAAATGTTTGAATTTGACATGACATAACATATTTATAAGGTCTAAACTTTAATCCAAAACCCAACACAAAAATAAACGAATTGAGAGGATACGACAAAATAATTTAACGAATCAGGTTAGAATCATCTTTCGGATCATTTAATCTCTAGACACAGCAAGAAAAAAAGAGAAGACACATTTGTCATGTCTAATAATTCCACATTAATTCAAAAGTGTTTTTAGCTAATACAGTCCCAAACACCCTCCCATCAACCCTAAAAAACCGAGTCGCCTCTCCACCGCTGTGGTAGATGTCTGCAATGAAGAATCTACCGCCGGATATTATAGAAGCAATACTGGTACGACTGCCGGCGAAATCCCTCAGCCGGTTCAAGTCCGTGTCTAAACTTTGGTGTTCGCTAATTTCCAATCCCCAATTCATCACAACCCATCTCCATCTAAACCACCACCCCACATCCTGTAAATTGATTTGCTTTTCCCGTAATACTAACAATAAAAAATGTCTATGCTCAATCGATCTAAATCTCAACAGCGACGATGTATCCGCAAATGAAGTAAGTTTCTTGCCACCTCCGGTCATGTGGGAAATTATCTGGGGGTCCTGCAACGGGCTCGTTTTAGCCACAGACGAAGATGAAAGGCTCTATTTGGTGAATCCAACCATAGGCGAGATCTTCGAACTTCCCATATCCCCTTTTGCACTTCCGATTGAAGAAGGCTATCAAACCTACGGATTTGGCAACGATTCATCCACGGACGATTACAAAGTAATCGCTATTTCTTTCTCCAACACCGATATGTTCGTCAATGTCTATAGCTTGAGCAACAATTCATGGAGGAAGTTGCCTAATTCTCCTTATGGTCAGTCTTATGTCTGTCTTGTCGGTGGGGTTTCTGTCAACAAGAATCTTCACTGGTTAATTGTACGCCCAAACTTCTCATCAATGATTATTGCGTTTAGTTTAGCAAAAGAGGAATTCAACGAAATGAATTTGCCTGATTCACTTGGTAACAACCATCCGTTCAACGTGCTTGTAGTTATTGGTGGGAAACTTTGTGTTTTTAATCAGCTGGGTAAGGATTTGTGGGTGATGGAGGAGTATGGGGTTGGTATGTCTTGGAGTAAGGTTTCCATCCATGGGGTCGATATAGATCATGTGAAACCTATTTGTTCAGTTGAAGACAACAACCGGGATATTGTATTGGTTGATGATGATAGAGTTGTTATATACAACGTGGATGAGAGAATATCCAGAAATGTAAGAATCCTTGGGGCTCCATCTGGATTCACCATTAGAGGTACGTATGTTGAAAGTCTTGTATCACCTAAATGCATTAGAAGAATACCATAAACCTGCAGTTCTATTTGATTCTTAAGAAGACATTAGAGCTTCAAAGGATGTAAGTTTTTTAGTATTTTGTTATATTATAGAAGACGAAAATGAGCTCCTGTCCAGCTGATTTTCACTTTAAATACACCGGGTCTGACACACTAATGGGTTCGGGTCAAAAGATCCACGTGTTCGTTTCTCAAACTTTGTATTAAACGAGACACAATCCAATAAAATAGCATCCTGTCACTCTTAGTCATTCGTATACAAAAGCTACTCAATATCAGTCCTGATGTAGTGATGTAGATGTACAACCACTTCCCCCTTTAGCCCAAAAAAGTATCTTAGCCCATAACATATTACATGTTACATGAACAAAATTAATTGTATTTAACAAAAAATAAAATTATAATTATAAACTGATAATAAAGTTGAGATTGCTTAGATGTTCACTATATTCTTCAATCGAATCATATAAAAAGTAGTTCATAAATCATTTTGTCACATACTAGAAAAAGTAGATTTTCAAAATATCTAAAACATGATGCAATGTGTTTATGTTATCTTATTTATTTTTTAACCCGCACCCATTCTATAATCTATATCCTCTCTTATATAATTAACACATAATTTATCATTGAGTACACAATTACTTTTTTTTTTTATTAAAAATACTATTATATTAGATTGATATATTTTTAATTAAAATAACTTAAAAGTAGTAACGAACACGTCTATTGTTCAATGGATAGGAGAGAGGTATTGTATACCTTTGGGATGATCGATTCTAGCATACATTCTTTTAACCAAGTTGAAGCTGTTTGTATTATTGATAATTTTTCCATTTGTATTATTGTAAACATTTTTCCATTTGTTGTTATTAAAATTTTTTGAAAATTTCCAGTTGAAGCCTTTTGTATTATTATATTATAGAAAAATTTTCCATTTGTAATATAATAGGATTTTTAATAACGAAGGTTTTTGAAAATTCATAGTTGAAGCTTTTGTATTATTGAAAATTTTTCCATTTGTATTAACGAAAACATTTTTCCATCTGGTGGCAACACTTTTTGTATTATTGTAACCATTTTTCCATTTGTTGTTAGTTTGGTAAAACATCAAGCTACCTACTTTTTTTTTTCCTTGTTTTATTAGCAATTTCTGCTTGAATACCAACTTTACTTGCAACGAAAAAGATTAACTACCATATATCTAAGTAATACTTTCGTTAATGCTTACACCTTAATGTACGCATATGTTTATTCATACAAAAGTAAAACTAATGTTTCATGTCGTACGATTTCATACTTCATTTCCATCTGGTGGCCACAGTCAAATCATAGAAGACTTGGGATTAAATCAGATCCTTTTTAGAACGTCTTGAGTTGGCTCACATCGTATGTGCCAAGAGTATTACGTGGCATGTAAAATTGAATGGAATCTCATAAGGCAAATCGAAAAATAAATTTATGAGAGCCCTAGACAACTAAAGTTTGCTTTGACAAAAATATGCAGTGACCGGTGCTTATCCATTGCGATTTACAAGAAGTGACTGTTGAAGGCTACAAGTTAAGTGTAACAAAGCACACCTTAGTTAAATACAAACCCGATCCTAATATTTTGGATGCCTTATGTGAAAATCAAAATTTAGGTCCTATAAAAAAATTACTGTAAAATATTATTAAGCAAGCTAAATTTAGACTTACCCCGTTCCTAAGTTCAACTTAACGAGAGAAAAAAAAATAAGAAGAAAGTAAAAAAAAAAATTGATGTTTTTGAGTTTCATAAAAAGAGGAAGTGGAAGAAAATGAAATGATCACTTTCCCTCCTAACTTTTCTTTCTATTTGGAAAGATTTGAAGAGAAAGAACAAAATGTTTAATTTTCCTTTCAGTTCTTTCCAACTCGAACAAAAGACAAATTCACTACAAAAAAAATGTCAATTAGTGACGAAAACAAAATAGTCACTGACAATAGGAGTCGTCACTAAATGATTTAATGACCAAATTTTTGGTCTGTCACTTTTCATCACTATAGGTACGTCACAAAACCGATCAGTGACCAAAGAAAGTCGTCACCGGTCTATCCTATTTGTGACCATAAAAAGTCGTCATTGATTTATCCAATTAGTTACTAAAAAAAACTCGTCACTTATTTTTGTTGCTATTTCTTGTATTTAACCCACATGGAACTTAATAAATGGTAACATATACTATAAACAATTTAAAAATATATAAATTGTTCTCAAATTATAAAAACAAAAAGATGGGGAAAAATTATTTTCCATTTGGCACTGTCTCAATAATCATGCAGACTTACGTCATGTCCTCAACAAAACCTTAACACAACTTCCCACCAAATTACACAAAAATAAAACCCAAGAAAAAAGATTCAACTCTTCCGGTTATTCAAACAACATGATTTGCTTCAAGACTACTTTTTTTTTCCTGCAATAACTTGTCTCAGTCTCATCTGTTTGCAGCCTCTATAAGCAATCTTCCCAAGTCAATATTGATCATGACTGCAATCTATATAAGATAATTCACATGTATTTGATATCCCACCACAAGCTAAAAGCATCATCACAGATAATTAATGTCCAAATAATATTCAAATGGTCAATTTCTGAACAGGGACAGAATGGTCTATGTGGTGTTTGTTAGTTCATGTTATAAAAAAAATGGATGTGCAATGCATTTTCACAAAAAAATATATTTTATAAACTTTTCTTGTGTCAAACTCAAAGAATTTGTAAACTGTAAGGATACAGGGTTTAACTGTAACATCTCATTTTCACCCAAAAAAAATATCTTTTATATCAATCCTCCTATGCTATACTTTTTTCTAATGAAAATAATCCCTATCAAATTGCATCCGAAATCAAGATTAATACAATTAGATGACTAGAATTATAGTTACATCGGGTCTTAGATCCATTAAATTCCAAAAAAAGACCAAAATACCCCTTATAATTTTTATTGTACCAGATCTTTAAAACATCAAACCAACTCTTTCTAATCCCCTACTAACCATAGTCAAAATGTTTTATACAATCTTGAATATACATGTCGCATTTAACAGTAACCCAAAAAAGACAATAATGCCCTTTGTTTTTATTTTCGCATCAAATCATTCATCAGTATTGTACTTTTTACCAGTAAACCGAATCCCCACAAAATTGCACCCAAGAACAAGGATGACACAAATATAATAAGTTTATTTCATTTAACTGAAGTTTTATACACTGCACTACAACCTCGAAACCACATTATATCATATATCTATATTGATTTGGATGATCTAGCATATACAAATTTCCGATAAGTAAAATACCTAGAAATAATTCAAAGTACAAGTAACTTTTAAATTTGATAAGATAGACTTACTTACTTCATCACGAAGGGAAGATGTCTCATGTTGACCTCCCATATCTTTATCTACACATCCAATATCCTTTACAAACCTAAAAATGTAGACTCATAAAGTCAGATATTTAATGTCTTGTTATAGTTATAATAGTACAACATTATAACTATGTATTTATTACCCATTTTGACCGCGTATGTTGCCAGTATTTGGGACAATAGGCGGAATAACTTGTCCTGTTCAACAATGTACTTTTTAGAAAGGTTGAAAGTACAATGTTTTTATAGAAAAAGAAATGGAAGCTAGATGATAGAATACACAAACAAACAAATACGTGTTACTATTTATTGCATCTTTCCTTTTTTATATTATATGTACACAGAATGTATAGTTTTCTATCTACTTTAATGATGTTGTAATGCCAGTTTCCAAGTATTTGCATTGTTGGCCTTGCTTTGTATTGTCACACCCGGAACCAGACGGCGGAAACGTCCGAGGGCTCGCGTGGCTTAAATTGAAATATCATCACAATGAATATACATGAAACATAACATAAACATCACAATGCATTAGTACATTACAACTGACCTTGTTCACATCAAGTACATTGTCTAAATATTACATATCCATAGCATAAATTGTTTGAGAGTCACATAACATAACATCCTTACACACTCGAAAATTTTCTACAGCTTATCTGTTACCTGAGAATACAAGTTATTTTGAAAACGGTCAACATATATAATGTTGGTGAGTTCATAAGTAGGTTTGATATGAAAATGTTTCGTGTAGTTTGTAAAACCTAGAAAATCCGATATTTTCTGAAACGACAATTGTTTACGAAATAGGTGTGATGATCCATAAGTATATGCGTGAATGATCTCAAAACGTGAAAAAGTGATATGTTTCTCATAATGAATTCTTGTATTGAAAGTGCATGTGAATAATGTTGTTTCCCCGGAAAACCCGATGTTTTCCGATAAAATAGTATGTTCGTTTTGTATTATTGTATCGTCACAACGAATGAATATGATTTCCCATGTTTACTTAGATGGTATTGGATCTCTATGTGAGTCGTTATAACCATGCATAATAATGACTAGTTCGTCTGTCTTGGCATTCTTGCGAATGTCGATATTGAAATTAAGATTTTGTCACCCTAGACTGGCCGAGTCTAACTGTAGCGAACAGCTTAGGTGTGGGGGAGTCACCCCCGTATAGATCTATACACAAACTCTCGCTCTCCCTCCAGGAGACTTTGATTATAACTACAGACTACGACCGACATTTATTGGTGTCACCCTTTATTACTCACTAAATCCAAATGAGATTGAATAACATTGTTTAACAACATGATTTATGTTTACTTGAATAAAAGGTAAGCCTAACAGACGAAAAGAAGAGGACTACGGGGGCCCACTAACCGCGTATGTTATTAAAGGCTGTCGAGTATGCGAATGACACGTTCGCCCATCACGCATACGATTTATTTGGACCTTACTAGCAATGCAAATGGGCCACTACGGCCCAATAGCATGTAAAAGTCATTGAGGGTCCATTAGGCATGTAATTGGGTCCCTGAGGCCCAATAAACATGTGTATTTATGTTGGGCCCAAAAATCATGATATTGGGTCACAAAGGCCCAATAACACGAAAAGAGGGTATTTGAGTCCAACTATTGAATCGTTTATGTTTTATTGAGTTTAAGTTCATATTGTTGATATTTTTGTTGTCTACTAAATGTTTATTCACAATGTTTAAAAAGAAATGACTTAACGTTCGAATTACAACGAAGCTTTATATATATATATATATATATATATATATATATATATATATATATATATATTAAATTACGCATTATAAACTTGATATTTTTAACCCAAACATTTATAATTGTTTATTTGGCCCAAAAACATTTAGATTGATCATTGTGTCCCCTTTTTCTATAAAAATGGCACTTTTAGTCCCTTTTTATGAAAATTTACATTTTTGGTCCTTAAACCATTTTTCTTGACATTTTCCACCCAAACTTTATTTGAATAGAAATTTTAGCCCAAAACTATTGCATTTGTCATTTCCAGCATTTATTTGTAAAAAGTTTACATTTTTGCCCCGAATTCCGTAAGTTTTACAGTTTTGACCCCAAATTCAAAAACTTTGCAATTTTAGTCCAAATTTGGTAATAAACTCATTTTTAACCCCTGAAAAAGTTTATTTACATTTTAGACCCATAGTTTGTTAAATTTTCCAATTCAGCCCCTCAAAACCTCATTTTTTCGCAACCTTGGGCCCAAAACCCATTAGGCCCAATTTTAAGCCCATTAAGCTAAAATTTATGGTTTTGACCCTTTGAAAAGTGTTATTTTCATAGAAATCAGATTTTATACAAATAAACAACTTATAACCCTCATAAAACCGACAATTTACAATTTATACCCAATCTTTGTTATTTTTGCAAAAATGAAACTTGTAAGGTTCTTTTGGTTTTGTTTTTCACTTTTTAAACTTAAGGACCCTTAGATCTATGATGTATGTTGTTTATTATGTTTTTGTTTATGATTCTTTCACCCTTCTTGCTATAGATCTCGAAATATCACAAGTATTACACATTATCACAACCAAAAACTAAGGAAATCACACATAACATGCAAACACACATAGATCATCACATAGTACTTGTATTCTCCCCCCAAAAACAAGTAAAAACTGAAAACAAGGGGGTATGAACTCACCTTGCTTAGTTGCTCATGGTTTTGTAGAAGAAATGGAAAAGATTGATGAGATTCTCGGCCCTAACAATCTTCTTGAAGAGACCTTCGAATTTGAAGAGTTCTAGGGAGTAGGATTAAGAATTTAAGGTGGTAAGAAGAGTGATTAAGTTGTAGAAAGAAAGTATGTTGACAAGATCTTACCACAAGTATGTATCTTGGAGTGATTTTTGGATGAAAACCTTCTTGAAATGCCCTAAATCTCGAAAATTTGGAAGGAGGAATGAAGGTGTTCTTGAGAGGATTTGGAACTGAATTAAGTGTGTGTGTGTGTGTGTGTTGATGCTCTCGGCCGAGAGTAGAAGAAGGAGAAGAGAGAGAGAGGGTGAGGTGACCATTATGGATGAATGTTGGTCCATGCATGGATACATGGTGTGCAATAAGGAGGTGGCAACTCCCAAAGTCAACCCTCCCCCATTTACATCCTTCTTTTTTTTTACTTGGGCCGAGAGAGAGAAGGGAAAGAAATGGCTTGGGCCTTTAGTGCTTGAGTCCCATAATATGAGGCCCAATTTGATGGTTTTCGGCCCATTGGGCCTTTAGAGTAGTTCACGGCCCAATTCTTGCATAAAAGAATGGATTTCAGGTCCATTAAGGCTAATTGGATTTGTTATGGCCCAACAAGGCCCATTAAAGGTAAACTAGTCCATTTTAGACTTATAAGGCCCAAAAAGGTTAAGTCTCATGAGAGTGGGTCCAATTAGAGCCCATTTAAGAGTTCTAAGCCCAAAATAGTCAAATTGGAAGCTTATTGGTCCATTAGGCCCAATAAGGAAATCCTAGTCCATATTGGACTTAAACCGAGATTTTTAGGGTTTCCAATCTTTTGTTGACTATTTGAGTGTTTGTATAGAGTGTTTGATGGAATTTTGTTGTTATTGAATAAACATCATGTTTTCAAGTCATGGTTGCAATTATTGATAATGCTTACATGAGGATAGAACTTTCTAGCCAAATTTGCTAGTTGTGACATGTATTAACCTTGCATTTTGGTCCCAAAGCCAGGCGTTAGAACGCCAGGCGTATGTTTGTGGACACCAAGCGTTCGCACGCAGATGAAAAACCCTATTTTTTAGGGTTTGCACCCTATTTAAAGGCCGTTATAGCGTCAAAACGTTTCTTATCTCCAGCCTCCGTCCCTTATAGCCCTCATTTCGAAACCCTAAGTCTGTGTGAGTGTTTTGAAGCCTTGGAGTAACATTTTGGTATCATTTTAGTGTTCTTGGTGGAGAAGGAAGATCTTTGGAGTGTTGGTGTTTCTCTCTAGCTTTTGGATCTGGACTCTTGGCATCTTGGAGCACCTTTTGGATCTCGTTGATTTCGATTTCTTCCAAAGGGATGACAAGAGTTTCGTCGGATAAGCACTTCTTCAAATTTGAAACATGGAACACGGGGTGTACACTGCTGAGCTCGGTAGGTAGCTGCAGTATATAAGCCACTGGACCAATTCGGACAAGAATCTCGAATGGTCCAATGTAGTTTTCCCCGTTTCCAGAAACGAATCACCCCTTTTCCAGGGAGAGACCTTTAGCAACACCCGATCCCCGACTTGAAACTCCAAGGGCTTTCGCCGTTTATCAGCGTAGCTCTTCTGTCGGTCTCGTGATGCTTGAAGTCGAGCTCTGATTTGAACTATCTTCTCTGTCGTTTCGCGCATGATTTCTGGTCCTATTAATGCATTGTTTGGTGTCTGTCCTCTTGCTAGCTGAGTGTCGCCTACCTCAGTCCAACACAACGGTGATCTACATTTACGACCATATAATGCTTCGAAAGGAGCAACTTTGATGCTTGTGTGATAACTGTTGTTGTACGAAAACTCAATTAAAGGTAAGTGGGTATCCCACGACCTCCCAAAGTCTATCACACATGCTCGAAGCATATCCTCAAGCGTTTGAATGGTTCGCTCACTTTGACCATCCGTCTGTGGGTGGTAAGCAGTGCTCATATCGAGTTGTGTTCCCATAGCCTTTTGAAGTGATTGCCAAAAGCGTGAAGTGAACCTACTATCCCGATCTAAGATGATAGATATTGGCACTCCATGGAGTCTTACAATTTCCTTGATGTAGATTGTTGTCAGTCGCTCCATCTTGTATGTCTTCTTTATTGGCAGGAAATGGGCGGATTTTGTCAACCTATCAACTATTACCCATATGACATCCATTCCATCAGTTGTCTTGGGTAATTTGGTTACAAAGTCCATGGTAATCCTTTCCCATTTCCACTCAGGTATTATCGGCGGTTGTAATAGTCTCGAGGGCTTTTGATACTCTACCTTCACTTTAGCACATGTGAGGCACTTGCTAACGTAAGTGGCAATCTCTGCCTTCATGTTAGGCCACCAATAACATTGCTTAATATCCAGGTACATCTTATCTGATCCCGGATGGATGGAGTATCGTGTCTTATGAGCCTCATTCATGACTACCTCTCTGAATCCCCCAAGTTTAGGGACCCAAATTCGGTTCATGAAATAATATGTTCCGTCCTCCTTGACTTCGAAGTTCTTTTCCATTCCACGTAACGCTTCGCTTGTTCCGTTTTCTGTCTTCATGGCATCGAACTGGGCTGCTTTGATTTGCGAGAACAGATGGGATTGAATGGTTATTGAAAGAGTTTTCACACGACGATTTGAGTATTCTTTCCGACTCAAGGCATCAGCTACCACGTTAGCCTTGCCTGGGTGGTACTTGATTTCGCACTCATAATCGTTTAGCAGCTCAACCCATCTTCGCTGCCTCATGTTTAACTCCTTTTGATTTAAAATGTGTTGGAGACTCTTGTGGTCAGTGAAAATGGTGCACTTCGTACCATAAAGGTAGTGCCTCCAAATCTTCAAAGCAAAGACTTTTCCATATGCTATGTTAAAAGAAAAAATCCCGAAAGTAGCATAAATGTATAATGACGGTGGTATAGAAAACTCAGGTGGGGTTGTTAAATTAAACAATAAGTTAATCTAAAGTTGAGAAAAGGGCATCACTCTAGATAGTTTCAAGTTATGTTGGTCTAAACAGTAAACAGAGAGGAAACAAGAGTTTTCAGAATAATGACATGTTAATAGCATAATCTATAAAAACATCAGTTGACAGAAACAATACAACAATCAGAGTTAGGACAACAGCAACCACCAAAACAGATTTCCAGAAACAGTTTAGTTTACAAAGTTTATAACTAAATACATAGGTAATGTATCCAATTAAAATGATATTTTTCAAGAGAATATGATTTTCATTTATACCAAAACTGGGAAATAGCTTTTGTATGTGACCTAAACAGATCACGTTCTTAATTGGATACATAACAAGTCTGATAGCTTAAGGAACTATTTAGGTACCTAGAAATAGGAATGTTACTTGAGTGGATTTATATAGAATTGCAAATGCATATAGTCTGCTCATCTGTTGCTAAACAAAAGTGATTATCCATCAAAGCATGTTTAATTGAGTTTGTTTGCAAATCCAAAAGAAAATAAGTAAAGCTTTATTTTCTTTGGTTATCTAGGATACTGTAGGTGAAGTCAAAATTAGTGGCATTGTTAAGATAATGAACAGGGAAGCATTTACAATGGATTTCCTTATCTGATCGAAGAATAAATTACAAGAGGAGCTAACATAGTACAAATAAACTTACTGTCAAAAGACAAATCATAGAGATTCACAGCCACTTAGAAAGAAAAAAATCGGAATCATAGA